CTGGCTTATGTAATTAACAAAAACAACAAGTTCGAAAAGGACAACTATACCATTCGTCGTTCGCAGACAACCCAACCTTGCTGACGGTCTCGGAGTACATAGTCTGATGGTAACTCCGAAGTCCGTTCATTTCCACCATGTGCCTTTTAGATAGATAGATAGATAGATAGATTTTATTTTGACACGCTAACTACGTCAATTAAAAACATTGATTTCCACGAAGGGCGTGTGTTCAAAAGTTATTATATATAAGTGTTGTTATGACTCTTATGGAATCAAATAAAAGAAAATAGAAATAATCTAACTGTTCCAATTGACAAAATTGACAATATAGACAACTAACAAAACATATAGATAACTATTTACAATAAAGGATATATATATATGTATGTATAAATATATTATTTAGAAACATGAGCAGCAATTTTTCTTTCAAATAGAGACTGGGACCTAATTCCTCTGATTTCTTTAGGCACTGAGTTCCATATTTTTGCCCCATTAAACATAAAACTCTTTTTCATGCTATTTGTGCGGGGCTGTGGCAAAACGAGTGTTGTTTCATTGTCACGGAGACAGTAATGCGTATTCTCATTCTTGTAGGTAAAAAGGTCTGTTAGGCTTTTAGGCCCAGACATATTCAAAATTTTGAACATTAATTTTGCCTTAGCTTTAGTTCTTTGTACTTTTAGTGTCTCCCATCCTAACGAATTTAATGCGATTTGGGCATTAACTTCGTTACCCATGTCCATAATAATTCGAGCGCATCTATTTTGAAGCTTTTGTAATCGTTGTGATTGAGTTTCACCAAAAATGTCCCACACTTCACAACAATAAGTAAAGTATGGTTGTACAATTGCGTTAAATATAGAAACAAGTGTATCACGGTCAACAAATTCTTTTAGTTTTCTAATAACAGAAATGGCTGATGTGATTTTCTTACAGATACTCTCAGTGTTACTTTTCCAAGAGAGATGCTGATCAACTATTACTCCTAGTGTCTTGCATTCCTTCACTTGTTTAATTGGTCTGTTTTCAATCATTATGTTTAAATTTGAATCTGAAACAGTATGCACTAGAGATCTTGATCCTATGAGCATAAATTCAGTTTTGGCAATGTTTAGACTCAGTTTGTTCGCGTTTAACCACATTCTGAGGTTTTCCAAATCAGAGTTCACTGCATTTTCAACATCATCAATTGTACCACCGGAAGCAGTGAGGTTTGTGTCATCTGCAAAAAGTCTTGGCTTTGTCCTATTTAGGCTTTCAGATAAATCATTTATATATATTAGGAAAAATAAAGGACCTAAAATGGAGCCTTGAGGAACACCACACTTAACTTTGTGTTCAGACGAGACAACACCATTTACTTGGCATTTTTGGGTGCGATCAGTAAGATATGATCTCAGCAACAAATGTGCCTTATCCTTAATACCGTAAATTTGCATTTTCTCAAGTAGAATTTCGTGATCTACGGTGTCAAATGCTTTTTTTAGATCTATAAAAACTACTAAGTTAAACATTTTTCGATCCATGTTAACATACCAACTATTTGTTGAATCTAAAAGGGACGTAGCGGTGGAGTGAAACTTTCGAAAGCCAAATTGGTTATCAGAGAGAATTTCGTTTTTAGTTAAATAATCATACAGCTGGTCATACAGTAATCTTTCCATGATTTTGCTTATGACTGGTAGTATCGATATTGGCCTGTAATTACCAGGAATATTACGATGACCACTTTTATAAAGAGGTAAAACTCTAGCTACTTTCCATTCATCTGGAAAGCTGCAAAGAGTAATACTTTGATTAAAAATATATGTAAGTGTAGCAGAAATAACTGGTGATGCTAATTTAAGAATTTTACTGGAAATTTTGTCAATACCACATGCTTTTTTACAAGACAGCCCTCTTAAAAGATCAAAAATTTTGTTTACCGCAATTGGTGTAAATGCAGTGAACTTGGATTCAGAACTTTTAGTATACTTTTGAAAGTCACAGCTAGATTCATCCAACTTGCTTGCCAAGTTTGGTCCAACATTTGCAAAGAATTCATTTAACCCTTCTGCAATCTCTGTAGGATTTGTTAATTTAGATTCATTAATAATTAGTTCATTTATAATCGTGGGTTTCTTACCCTTTCCGATCAAACTATTAATAGTTTTCCAAGCCTGCTTTGGATTGCACTTTTGGTTAGCAATCTTTTTAGAATAATAGTCTGTTTTGGCTTTCCTTAATTCGGTATTTGTTTGATTTCTGGCTTTTTTATAAATGAGCCAATCAGATTCTTGTTTAGTAATAATTGCTTTTCTTTTCAATTTATCTCTTTCGGTTATGAGCATTTTAATTTTGCTTGTAAACCAAGGGACACTTTTTGATTTTATCTTTTTGTTTTGAAGTGGTGCATGCTTATCCAGGACCTCTAAAAAGACTTTTTTCCACATCTCCCACATAGTATTTGGATTATCTGGAAAATAATAAATATGATCCCAGGGTTGATTTTGCAAATCCTTAAGAAAATTTAGATCATTGAATTTCTTCATGTTTCTAATTTCAACAATATTGACATGACGTTTTACTGAAAAATTTATTTTTCTTATTGCGAAAATCATGCTATGATCACTAATTCCAGTATGTATTACCCCAGAGTCAGAAATTTTCTCTGGTCTATTTGTAATAAAATGATCAATAAGGGTGGATGTTGATGATGTTATGCGCGTAGCTTCATCAATCATTTGTGACAATTGATAAAGTTCATATATGGATTTGAGTTTTTTAGTTAATTGGTCTGGATTTGTCTTAAGTAAATCACAGTTTAAATCACCAAGAATGTGAATTTCTTTGTTTTCATCATCTATTTTTTTAATGAGACTTTCTAAATCGGTAAAAAATTCGGATGACGGATTTGGAGGTCTATAAGCTGTTACTACGACGAACGGCTGACTTTGAGGCTTAATGATTTCAATACAAACAGCTTCAAGATTTTTAGGCACTAGATCATGTCTAATCCGATAATTAATGGAGCTACGCAAATACATGCAAACACCACCTCCACTTCTTGATCTATCTTTTCGGATGATATCATAACCATCGATATACATTTGATTATCTGAAATTGATGAATCAAGCCTTGTTTCATTAAATGCGATTAAATCAATGAATTTGTTTGACAATGAAAAGCTAATTTCATCATATCGTTTTGGCAAGCTAACAACATTTAAAAAGGCCATTTTAAAGCCTCTTTCATTAGGAATAGAATTAATCTCATTGAAACAATTGCTGCTCCTGTTTTGGGTTAAATAGCAACTATCATTAATATTTATTTCTTCATTATATTGGTTACTATCTTCAGGTGATCTGACCATTCCTTCATTCGATGGCCCAGTGCAAGCCGAAAAAAAGGCTTATTATTTTTGCCATGCAGCTTCTGATTTTGAACAGCATTGCGGCTAATTTTAACTAACTTTAGGTAAGAGCAAAATTTCTTGCCCAACAACTTGTCTCCATTTTTGTTCAAATGGAGGTTGGATCTATTGAGATGGGATTGATCTACCTCGCTGTTATCTAAAAATGCTACTTCATACCTCTTGCACAAGATGAGTAATAGGTTATTTGCTTCCTCAATTTTTTGGTTGGATAATTTACCATCAAATCTTTTTACCACACTTGACACCGCAACATCACTTGAATCCCCTGATCCTTCATGCAGTCAACGTAGTCATCGAAGGTTATTATTATTATTATTATTATTATTATTCATCTTATTTAAAATTAAACTGCTTTTCTTCAGATTAAACTGCTTTTCAAGGGGCCGTTAGAATATTTACAAATACGAAAAATCTATTGTACATACTAACTGTATAAAAAAGAAAGCCCATGCAATGAACACTATATATAAATTAGAATGACTCATATATAACTAGAAATAGTATGTTATGTTAACCCTCCCAGACCCAAAAAATTACTCCTTCGAATCAAAATCCGCCCCACAAGTGGTTGTCATACACTATTCCTCTCCAAATTGGTGAAATAGTTGTTGATTAAAGTTTTGAAGATATTTATGGAGAGCACTTTGTAGTTGTTGGTAACATCATTTGGAAGATTGTTCCATGATGCCGCACCTCGATATGAAAACGAATTCTTCAAGAAGTCTGTTTTAGGTTTCTCCAAATAAAGTTTACAGTTATTACTTCTTAATGGGTACATATCATTTAGGCAAATTTTAAAGAAGTTGGTCATACATTCTGGCAGTTGTCCTTGTAAGGCCTTAAATGTATTTACCATTTCTCTTTTCTTAAGGGTGGTTTCAATTGGTTCCCAGTGTAAGATATTAAATATATCTTTCGATCTTACTTCGTAAGTTGACCCTGTGATAATTCTAGCCGCTCGTTTCTGCATTTTTAAAAGCTTGTCTCTATGTAAGCCCAGCCTTCACGACATATCCTCGGACACCCGTCGCCTTCTTTTCCTCTGACCCGTTGCTCATCCTGAATGCGTACATCTTTGCTTGGATGGCACACACATCGCTTATCTCTTCCACCTGTTTCGTTTTTCATGAAACCGAGCTCCATTTTGTTGTCGCAGAAGTACATCGGATGGTCCTCCTTGTAGTTGCTGTGATCAAAGTACTCGAGATGATCACCTCTTTTAAGGATGTCCACATCCACGTCGTCCGTCTCAATGTGTACGAATAAATTGTCTGTGTCCGTCATAATCAGTCTGACCCTATCACCCCATGTGGGCTTTGCGTAGTTGTATCAAAAGTCATACATCACAATTGTGGACAAGTCCGAAATGGCAGCTCCCAAATAAATGGGTTTGTCCAGCATCACGACCGATCTCCGCATTCTCACGGAAGTCAAGTTTTCCGAGATGATGTTGAAGGACTGGTAGTTTGTCTTTCTGGCCAGATTGTTGATCTGCTTCTTCGAAGTGGCCATCCGCACATCCACACGGTTTCGGACGTTCTCCATCGTCTTACCAAACACGGCGTTGTTCATAAGCTTGAAGAAGTTCTTTTCCGACTTACTTTTTACCTTTTTACTTTCCTCCGTGTTCTTTGCAATATAAGGTTTCAGCCAGTCCTCTTCTTCGAATGTTATTCCTCGGTGTACTTTTGTGATTTCCAGTCCAAGACCGACGTAAAACTTTAACGCTTCGTGATGGACGACGTACCTTTCCTTGTCGCTTAAGCTGCAAATCAGCTTGTCCACCTTCCCAATCCTTATCCTTTCAGGCGCTAAGGGATAGTCGTTGTGTAGGTCGTGCAGTCTCTCCGGATATTTTAAATCCACCTCCAAAAAACACGGATGCTCTCGCCAGTTTTCCAGCTAGTCCGCTTCTATCCACTTGAAATTCGGACGGGAAGAGGTTCTGACATAGCACAACCATAAAGGTTGTTGGCGTCCCAATACCGAAAACAGCTGTTTCTCCTGTGTGGATTGTAGTCCTTTAGGTAGACGTTATTTGCTTTGGCATACCTCGTCACAGCCATACATATTCCACTGCGAATACCTTTTTCAATCATAAGGTACATGTCCGGATCGGTAAGCAGCTCCAACTCTACCCCCGTAAATCGCAGCGCCGCGTCCAGGGACAGTCCGGGGGCCGTATAGTACCATAACGGATCCAAACTGTAGGTCCTCTTGGCCATTTTCCGAAAGTCCTCGAATATCGCCCGTATTCTAAAAGCTCACTCACACTCAATTAGTGGAGGTTCGATTAAGCTTCTCTTGAGTGCCAATGCTGTTTTTGAATAGCTGGAAGGTGAGCAGTCACGTAGTAAGGCATGGCACTACCCCTCCAGCTATTCAAAAACAGCATTGACGCTCAAGAGAAACTCAGATTGAACCTCCACTCATTGAGTGTGAGTGTGTGTGTGTGAGCTTTTAGAATACGGGCGTAAGTCCGTAAGAAGGGCGATATCCGTTTTAAGGTAGACCTCCGAGTAGTCCCACAGGCTTTTACATCCGAACCTCTTCCACACCTCCTGTGCTCTGGTGTAGTCTTTGTTGGAAATTCCCTTGTTCGTCAACGATGAGAAAAAGTCCTCCTTGGAAGGAAGACATGTTTCGTCCAGCTTCTTCATACAGTCAATATACTCGTATGGAAATACATCCTTCTGTTTTAGGATTGGATCCTTTCCGACAAATTTCTCCAAATAATTAAATCCGTCTTCCGGCAGGTTCTCTGCCAGTTTTTGTAAGGAAGATTAATTGCAGGAAGTTGGCGTTGTCGATAAACCTTTGATTAAAAGCCCTTGTTTTCCCACCTTCATTTCCGGAAACATGATACCGTAGGATTTCTTTGGATAGGCTCTCTCTGCGTCGCAGAACTCCTTCATGGTCGTCGTCCCTTTTCCTGATAGTCTCCATGATTGGTTCAAAACCCTCGATTTCCATGTTTAACGTAACGGAAAACCCGGCCATATACGGCACATGTACTTTCCTAAATCTCTTCTTCATCCCTAGTCCGACATCCCTGTTTTCCCAGTGTTCGTCCGGAATGTTTACGATCATACATTCAATGTCAGCCTGGATTGAAAACGGTACATCCGTGGTATGTTTGTGGTTCTTAAACATTGTCGTTGGTTTACCTGCCTGTATGGTCCCGTCCTCCTTTGTCTCCCCGTCATCCTTCGGAAATATTGTCCGCTGACGACCTCTTTCCCGACAATCCCTAATATGTTTGACCATGAGTTGTCTCGTCCCGAAAAGATTCAGACAGTACGGACAAAACTGTTCGACCCTCTTGTTCCCGCTTACCTGACTTGAAAGAAGACGACTCAAACACTTCACAACACTGAAATGATTGTCGTGCCAGAAGAGGTTAATGACTTTTTCGTACTCCTCAGTCGGTTCCATCATCGATCCTCAGTCGGTTCCGGCGACGATCACCTTCTGGATCCGTTTCCATAACCTCCTCGATGCCAAAAACGTTAACCCCAATGTCATTGTTCTTTGAAAATATTTTCACATCCTTTACAGCAACAGGAAATAACAGTTCTGCCCAGTTATACTTTTCGGATTGCTTTTTAAGAAGCTTGCTAACAACGTCCGCCTTTCTCTCCAGCGGATGGAATGCACGGGTAACTGCGTACTTGAAGCACATATTGTTTTCATTTTTTATGTTGATAATCGTTTTCTTGTTGGTAATGAATCTGGGAAGTTCCGAAAACCCGGCTCCCCTCACAATTCGTGATCTTCACAATCATCCTTACAACCTTCTTCAAAGTCCATCCCGAGCCGTTCTTCTGATATTCGGAAATGTCGTTTGAAACCTTTTCCGACGCTTCGTCGTACTTTTCCGAGACGTTGGTTGTAGGAAAGATGTTGGATGTAAAATTACTTGGATAATAGCTGTCCGTCGTGAGTGACCTCTCCCGTGATAGGATCCGTCTTTTCCATGATGCATTCCAACCGAATCTGAACTTTCACCAGCTTCTTCACGGACTCAATCAGTTTCAAAACCTCTTCCTTCGACAGGGACAGGACCGGCCTGCTTATGGGTTAGCGGAGCTGTCACGGAAATCATGTACTCACTTACCGTTCTGCCGTGTGCGTGCTTGATGTCTGTTTACTTCGTCTGCCCCAAATCTTACTGAGCTTGTCCTCCAGTTTCAGCTGAAGCCGGCCAAACTTCTTCTTGCCTTTCCACTTACCCTCTCCAATCCTACGGTTCTGCTCGGCGCGTCTCTCCCGTGCTTTCTCGTTCCTCCTCAACCTCCGCGATTCCTTCTTCCACTTCCGGGCTTCGACCTTCCAGTCCAAAACCTCCTTCCGCCGTCTCTTCTCCTTCGCAATCTTTGCTTTCTGCGTTTGCGGAACTGATTCACGGTGGTCTTGATCTCCTTTTTCCATTTTTCGGTCGTTATCTTTTTCTCCTGCTTAAGCAGTTTATCAAAATCCTTGTTAATTTTGATCTGTCTCCTGAGGTCCTCTTTCTCAATGAACCTTTGCGTCTTCCTGTACTCCCTTTTCGCTTTCCTCCGTCGCTTCTCCGTCTCCTTTTTCGCCTGCTCCAAGGCGTTATTCTTCATACTTTCCATAAGTTCGGACAAATCACTTTGATGAATCATGTTTGTCATTATTTATTAGAGTAAAAGTTTACCTTTAAACTAGTTTCAAAGTCGATTTTGTATTTTTTCAAAACTGATAGTTTTGAGAAAGAAAGACAAACATAGGCCACCGAAGCCAAGTCCTTTTATTTATATTATAAAAATTTTGTCTTTAAATTGTTGATTCTGCCGATTTTAATATCTTAAAATTATACCGCGAGGCCTTCGAACATGTCCGATATCTCGTCAGTCTGACCGTATAAAGCTTCCCGAACCTCAGCCTCCGCCTGCATTTCCTCCAGCATCTCCATCTCTCCTATCCGTGTCTCCACCAAAATCTCCCTTCGGACCTCCGGAAACGTAATCCACGCCTCGAATTTTAGCGTTTCGACCCATCCGTCATTTCCCAAATTTAATTCTGTGTTTCGCTATTAAACCTCTTTCGCCTATAGTCGAGATAATGACCGCCATGTCCTCGTAGTTAGTATACTTACACATTTTTGCGATCCGATCCATTTTCTCAGGACAGTTGAAATATAATTGCACCTCATTATCTATCATGACTGTTTTGTTTATATCTGAAAAGCCTTGTCTTTAAATGGTTAAAATTATTTTGAGACACTTTTAAGCAAAATTAAAGGACATTGGCAACCAAAATTTTTATTACTTATATCTATTAGGTATACTTACGGAATATTTAATTTTATATTTAGGCCGGTTTGTTGCGTTTAGTTGCTGAGAAAATTTGATTGAATTTGAGAAAATTTGAACAGTTGTCCGCCATTTTGAAAATAAGCGCGTATGCTAATTTATGCCCCAAAATACATTATCTGACGTCATTGGCTGGGTAAACACAATCTCATACGTAGTGCATTTTCAGCCAAAGCAAAAGGCAGAAAAGTTTTACCAAGTATGTAACTTGTTTGTAACACTATTTCTCATAGTATATATCCTACTCCGTGTTAAATAAGCGCAGAAATTCGAGTGTAAGAAGGCAAATACTAATGCAATATTTTGTTATCAATTACCTGCTTTGTAAATTGCGCCATTTCTTGCTTTCCCAGTCGCTCGATATGTTTTTATCTGATAGTGTAAACTTCTCTTGTTTGATTGCGAAGAGTGTTGGCCAGTATAACGCTCAAAACGACATATTTTTAGCTAACATAACACGCACGCAATAGAATTCTCTCTTGTAGTTTTGGTGCTACCCAGCCAATGACGTCACAAAGTTCATTGACCTTCGAGATAATTTTTCAAAAATATTTTCCAAGATGGCGGCGAAACTGGCCGAAACACAAAGTTTGCATGCATTTTACTCGTAAACTAAAATGTTCAAGAAGGAAATGATAATGTTTTCATAATTCGGTTGTCAAGTAGGATTGAAATAGCCAATAAAATTTTTTGTTGCCAATGTCCTTTAAGATCACTTAGGTTTTACTTGGACCATACTTAAAATTATTTTGAATCTACTTAAGACCTTCCTAAAATTATTTTGAGACACCCTTGAGCAAAATTAAGGATGCTTAAAATTATTTTGAGACGCTTTCAAGCAAAATTAAGAGTATTCGTTCCCTACAGCGTACACTGGTTTAGTACTTGAAATATTTGCTAAAATTGACTGGGAATACTTAGAGATTTCATCGTAGAATGGCGTAGTTATATTTATTTGCTCTTTGACTAAAATGTTCAGCTGTATTATTGCTAAACATGCCGCTTTGAGAATTTGGTTTGCAACTAGGTTTGAACATCCAACCACGCCATCAGCCCATTGAAAAAGAAAAGTCAGATCTTCTCCCATTTTCATCAGAAATTCCCGATTTTTCGCTTTCTTAACCATCTTGCCATGTCCCTACCTGACGTGGGTGTAAGCGAAGTGTGGAAATGAGGATCGAACACATTAGCACAGAATGCTACACAGAAGTCCATCTCCTTTGTTTTTTGCGTAAGCTCTATTCGTCATGATTCGTCACTCAGCAAGTACCGTAAAAAGAAGCAGTCCCCCCGGAAATACTCAAAATGGCACACGTCCAGGGGGGTGACTGCTTCTGTTTACGGTACTTGCTGAGTGACGAATCATGACGAATAGCGCTTACGCAAAAAACAAAGGAGATGGACTTCTGTGTAGCATTCTGTGACATCAGGATGTGTATATTTAAATTTTACTGAGTAAAATAAAACATGTCAGAAGAGAACCCAAGTACGACCGCAGTGCCGGTCATAACCTGAAGTTCAGGCACAGAGTAAAGACCAGTACCAGAAGGGCCACTCAGCGGTGCAACGCGTCACCATTTTTCTATGCAAAAATATGCAGTTGACTGGCCAGAAGGCGCGGGGCTTTCAGCCAATACAGCGCGTTTATTGGCCAGAAAATCTAATCGACTGGCTAGGAAGATGGCGGCCAGGCCCTTCTGTGTGCCTTATTCTGTGGTTCAGGCCCTAATCACAGAATAGGGCCTGACACAAAACCTATCTAAACTGTGGGATTTCCCGTCCATCTGGTAGACGGGAAATCTGATTGGTTGATCAGCATCATGAAGGATTTTGATTGGTTGCAAGTTCAAATAAACAACAGTTTTAAAGATAGTTCGGTCAATTAATAGCATAAGGCGACAATTAATATAAAGGTCAAACGCACGTAACAAATTCCGGATAGTTCCTCGGGTAGAGGAGAACTGATCACGTGATCGGCTAGTTGTGTTGTTTGTGGCGTCAGATATAACCCAATCCCTATCTCTAAGCCTAATCCTTAATCTAACCCTTACCCTTACCCTAACCCTTACCCTAACCCCAACACTAATCACTATAACTAACTGATGACGTAATCTGTGATGCAAATTCTTCTACCCGAGGAAGTACCCCAAATTGGATTGTCGATTTCTTCGAATTTCTTTTCTTTTATGCTTTATGGCAGAAAATAAATCAAACAAACAGTATTTTGAAAGGGCTTTATCAAAATCTTAGACAAATTTTGGACACACAACGCTGAAAGAACAGCCAAACTAGTCATGTATTCGAAAGCTTGTTGTTGACAGTCAAGATGTTCTGCCAACTGGCTTCGCCAGCAAAAGTCTTATTTTTAATATCAGGTCCTACCGGCCTTGTTTTCTGAGCTACATCGCCTTCGTGGTACGATTGAGAATTTCATTGTTGCTGTTGTTAGCCCGTTAGAGTATATCCGCGTCCAGCAAGTTGAGACCTTAAGAAAGCGTGGCAGTCAAGCCGTGCTGGCCCGTGCACAGAAATGACTAATTAAATCTTTGTTTGCTGTTCGGTTAAATAGAGAAACTGACTCTTAATTATATAAAAGTACCTTAAATTTTTAAGTTTAACTAAAAAGCAAAATGCACACTCTGCGGACATGTTCATGAGAAGATAATTTTTTTGTGTAACGAAATCTACATCACTTGTCAATCATATTGCATGTTGTGTCTAAAAATAACATGTGGGCGTCCCACGGTCTAGACAGGTTTTGTGTCAGGCCCTATTTCAAATTAGGGCCTGAACTTCAGGTTATGCCGGTCACAAATCCGGCGAAGACCCACGTCAAGGATCCGAAAAATGTGGAGGCAGGACACAGGCTTACCAAGATCAGTCAGGAGGCAAAAGCCAGGAAGAGCGCACAACGTGAAGCAATTAAAGGGTCAGGAAGGGGTACGGCGATTACCCTAGAGAGTTGGTATGGTGGTAGGTATTACTGTGGGACTTGGATCTCCCTACATCATGTGGTGTAATCGTCGGGAAATTAAAAGAGCGAAAAGATGGAGGAAAGTAAATCCACAGAAAAACCGCAGGGTGACCCGGCCTGACCTGTTCGACTGAGACCGATCCGAATATAAAAGTTTTAGCTATAATACAACACAATGACCGACACAAAGAAGGAAGTGGTCAACGAATTGTACAACGCAGCGTTAGTAACAGCCGGAGTTGCCGGACTGTCTATGGTGACCAGAAAAGCGTTTGGAGAAAGTCTCGGAGCGCCCGTGACTTTAAAAGAAGCCATGAAACTAACTGTCGGAATTGTTGGCAACGCTGTGGTGGTGAGTTACCTGAAAAACAAGGGTTACATTTCGATCAGTATTGACAAGTAAAAACGGATGACGTCAGGTCGTGTCGTAAGGGCAGAGCCTAGCTCGTCGTGCCCTAGGCGCTGACAAAACTCTTAAATAAAATAAAAAGTGACATCGCTAGTAGTCGGAGGACTTTTTAATGCCGTGGCCTTTGCCGGAGCCGGATTTCTTTTCTCGAAATTAAATGGACAAAGATACAAAGAAGAAGTGAAAAAACATAACCAGGCATTAAAAAACGTGCGAAAGCAAAAGAAAAATTTTATTAATCCGAAGTAAAGCGTAGCAACGACGAAGCCCGACGTCGAGCCGAGATCCTGGATGCTAACAAGGACATTGAGGAAACAAACAGAGCGCTGGAAGATTTAAGGAATTTTATTAGACTCATGGACGACTCAGCATCCCGGCAGAAACTAAAATTGAAAGATTAGTATCAACCGCCGGACGAAATGAAAACGTATGCGATGATGACGATGGGTGTTTTGGGAGTTGGTAGTGCCTACGGACTGATACGAATACTTTAAATTTCCGAAACCCAAAACGGGTATCGGAACATTCTATGTTGTTAGGAGGAAACAATTTATTTTTGTAGTTCCTGTTCTATTTGTCACATTTCCGGAAGAATCTATATTTTTAAATTCAACACCCAAAACCTGCACATGTAAATTTCAAGAATTAATTAAAACCATAAATGTAAGTGAAACCTGAATAATTCTACTACGTTGATCACATGTAAACATTACGATTGTTCCCGTACTACCTTCAGAAAAACCTTGAAGGGAAGACATGGTCGGGGTATTTGCACCGTCATCGATGCCAAATCCTATGAATTTTGCATTATTTCTATCACTTTCTGAAATATCAGGCGTTTGTAAAAATGCGGGTGGATAACCTGGAATCTGACTGAAATCATACCACATCACATTTTTTCCGAGTCCATTCAGTTTTTTAATATTATGATCATTCGTATGTATAACAATTTCTGCCGAATTTCCCTGTTGTTAAGTTGTTTGTATGTTCTTTGCATGGCGATAAAATATAATAGTTTGTTTGCGGAAACACCGCGTAATTAAAACGAAATGAATGAAAAAATGAATTAAACCAGTCACATATTATTCGCACTGATGAAGATCCGGGCTTACGGATCGTAAGCTTTGCAGTAATAAATTTATGTGGTATTTCCCTGTTGTTGTTTTCCAATTGTTGTTCATTTTTGTTTTAAAGTATTCAGATCTTCCGTCGTTGTATCAAAATAATCGTATCCGAATAGGAGGCTCATTTTATTTAACGTTGAAATACTAAATACCCAAGTCCGAAGGATGTTACCGCTATCATACCAAGGGTAATATTTTGACTGTCGGACTTCTGTCTTGGAGCTGGTTAATTCCCTATCAGCGGTCTAAGATTTTCCGCGGTGGGAATCGGTGTGATGTCCCATAATGCTCCATCTGGTTTTAGCCTGCTCCCCTAGAACGGAATACACAAAAGCCTCGATGGACTGTTGGAATAGCTTTTGTCCAACTCTAGTTAATTCTCGGGATTTTTTAGGAATAAGGGTCTTGTAATCATTTTTAACGTCGTAGGGGGACCTGCTGGTTAAGTATTCATATTCGATAAATGTGCCTCCATATTTAGTTTGATAATATTTATGACGTCGTATCTTTTTCCGGACATCTGCCGGCTTGTTGTAGTACCACGTTCCTACGTTTGCATGGGAGGAGTCCGTTCTTTTTTCCCACGTTTCATGAACGAGTGTGAATTTTCGGATGGTTTTCATATCGTCTTCCGTAATGTACTGATCCAGAAGTTGGGATTATGCATAAATCTTGAAAGGTGGAAATGGAGATGAAAGCGAACGATGGAGGTTACTACGTATTCGTAAGATGATCCTCGGAAATTCCACACTTGAACGTAGCGACGTAGGATGCAGCCAGGGAGCAAAAGTAGGAATCGGAATGGTAGTCGAACGACAACTTATCGATGAAGATACCCTTAGGATTGATGTACGTCAGTTTAATGGGATCTAATTTCGTTAGAAAACTTTCGGTCTCCGTAATGTAACTTTGCACATCCATTTTAAAATCTTTGTTTGGACGAAAAATTATGTCCGGAAGAACGCTTCGCCATCCGTCCACCCAGTGCAGAAATTTAGTCTACTCGGGATTTGAACGGAACGTATCAGACGTAATGTCATAGCTCGTAAGATTGTCAATCTTAAAAGATATGTCTCTGGACTCCACGGTTCCGTCCTTTGCAAAGGTAACCTCAAAGTCAAATTTAGACATGGTTGCGTTGGGATACTTTTTCCTAAAATTTTCTTTCTTTATCCAGATTTCAATGGGTCTTGCCGCCTTCACTTTCTCATAATTCTTTCCGTAGTAGTTGCGAAAGATATCCTCACTCATTGTTTTATTTTATGTAAAGTTCTAACAAAACATCTCCCGGAACAACTCCGGTGTTGGATCCGATTTTAAACCGGATTTCGTTGTACCTTCCAGCATCCACCCGTACCTGACTTTCAATGTCATTGTACTTGGTCACGATTCCGAAAAGAGGCTTGGTTCCGTCGATCGGAAGGGAGGTGATGATGACACTCTCAGATTCCCGTCCTCCCTGTACATCGCTGTACTCTGGTCAATTTTCGCATACAAAACCGGTTGCCTTCCACTCCGATAGAAACATCTCATCACATTGGTGTCGGGTTTTCCGACGACCGCAGCACACTTCTTCTCCACCGTTTCCAGAGCTGATATAAATTCCGTATGTGTTCCGACTGCTAACGGAATGGTATAGTTGTCCTTTCCGAACTTGTTGTTCTTGTTAATTCCATAGGCCAGGCAGTTTTCCAGCTTGAGTAAAAGAGGTCCACCGTCTTCCGCCACAAGTCCGATCTTTTTAGACCCGAACCTGTTCCTGACGGAATCCTCAAATGCGAACGAATTTTCGGAGAAGTCTGATACTCTGGTAATAGACATAGTGCCTTTATTATATGGAAAAGTTTTACCTTTAAACCGTTTACCGGTGGAAGACTTTGGGAAGACCTTAGGAAGACCTTATGAAGACTTTGGGAAGACTCTAACAGTCGGGTGGGACGGAGGCTTGGGGAAATCCTGGAAGAGATTCGTCTTTTTCAGGGAATCGGGTGGGAGGTGGTTCGCGCATGCGCGGTGTTTTTTTTTTGAAAATTGGTGGTTAGTGGTGGTGCGCGGGAGGGGGAAGAGATGGTCGGTAGACTGATGGTTCCGAGAAGGGCGCAAGGGATTGTGGGAAACCGGAAGTGACGTCAT